CTCTCTCTCTCTCTCTGTTTCTGTCCCTTTCCTTCTCTGGTGATTCGCAGGCTCCGTCCCCGAGTCCGGGCAGCTACGACCTGTCCCTGCACCTTGCGAGGCTAGCGGCTAGCGGCCATCAGGGCTCCAAGGACCTATAGGGATTATAGGGGGTTTATAGGGGATGATACAAGGACCCTATAGGGATTATAGGGGATTTATAGGGGATGATACGGTTTTGGGAGTAGATGCATCAATGGGGCTCCTACAGAGGGCTTACGAGGGCTTGGCAGTTTTGGCGAACTGTGGGATCCGAATGCAGGCCCTTGTAGACCCTAAATGATACTCGGATCTTCATGATGGAGGGTTTTGTAGACCCTAAATGATACTCGGATCTTCATCAGATGGACCCTGAGCATCAAGGCCCCCTATACTAGCGGTACTAGCGTAGTTTTCGCAAAACCCTCATCCAGGCGAGATGAGGCCAATCGAAAGGCCAGAGAGGCCTTGGCAGCGGTGGGCCGAGAGCCCCAGTTGCGTCGGGTCAAAATGGTAGAAAGCGGGGTCCCATACTATCCCATACTGGGGGTTCTGATAATGGGGATCCTGCCATTTAGAGTTTCGCAGATTCTCATCAGGATCTTGCAATGTAGTGCTTCGCATTGGAGCCTGGTGTGCTCCTTCGTGTCTTGGCACATCGCCCGTGTTTATCTATGATGAGCTCCGGTTGGAAACCGTTCCCACTGTGCCATTCATACAAATCTCCCGCTGAACAGTGAAATTATGCGAAGCACAGGCAGAATTTTCAATCTTGACTTTGATCTGAGTTCTGTGCGACAGCTGAGGCAAGCCGATCGCTCTTTGCAAATTCTGGTCAGGGCGGGCCTCCGCCAGTTGCGGAGAGGCCCTTCCCGACTGCCTGGGTATAGCAATTCTCTTGCTAGGAGCATCTCCTGCTTTGTTGCACAACATCTCCTTCTGCAAAAAGCGGGAAGAAGTGGCGTCTAAGGCATCTCTCCATCAAAAGCAGTCGCTGGTTTTAGACGAACTTTCTTGTTGCTTCCTTGGGTGGCTCATCAGACATAAGGGCCCGAAAGATCGGATTAAACCCTGAAGGGCTCGAACAGCTCGACTCGACCAACACATCTCTGCACCTACCCTCTCTTTCTCGGCGTGTGTAGACTTACAGCATTGTCACTGTCTGTATCTATGCGTACAGGCACATGTATGCGCATATATATATATACACATATGTATATGGCAACATAATTAAATATATATACACACACACATTTACGTGTGCACATCTGCATGTTTGTATATGTGTACAGCGGAATTGCCTATAGATCGTACAGATAGATACAGCAGTGTGTGGAGCAGGAGCCCCTTTTATGAAGGCCTCACCAGGAGGCATGGAGAAACACACTCAGGCATCCCGAACTCTGAAAAGTCAAACCCCTGAGCTGAAGCCCTGAGATTCCATTCAGAAAAGGCAGACTGCGGCTTTCGCCATCATTTCAACAGCCCGCAGGAGGTCGGCAGAGTCGGAGGGGTGATGTTT